TGTGTAAAGTACTTTTAAGAATGTTTGTGATATTTTTTGTTAAAAATGATGCCGAAATATAAGAAATTTATCCTTTAAATGTTGCATTTTCAATTGTTGTGACGAATGGATGTGAATGTGTGTTTTATTTCTGCTTGCTAACTTTTTCGCAGAGAAATGTTTAATAATTACGTTCAACCTATTTTGTTGGCTTCATAGTGTATAACGGCTTGGAATTTTATTTATAATAATAACAACAATAACATATATTGGCATGTTTTTTGAGTAATTCGATAAATGTTTGCAAGTGGGAAGGAGCTTTCACCTCGAGAGCAAACTTTTGAGTAACAGAAATATTTTTAACCCACCCTATAATTTCGTTACTCGCGATTTAACTTTGTAGTTTTTTGAATTTTCAATAATTTGATTTATTTAAAATATTTATTTTTCTACGTTTCATCGTCATAAATGTAGTAAATGTTTTTAAATGTGAGAATTAATCAAATATATTTACAATCATTAATTTCATAATTTAACGATTTAAAAAAATCCTCACTTTGATTTATATCTATTTTATTTGCTTCTTTAAACTCCCTTTCCCTCTTCTTTTTCCTCTCTCCCTTTCAAATTTTCTTTTTTTATACTCTTCTCTCTCTTTTTATATCATTCTATTTTTTTTCTTTCTCTCTTTTTCTATCTTTTTCTAACTATCTTTTTCTCTTTCTACTTTCTTTCTAACATCTCTCTCTCTCTCTCTCTCTTCTCTCTCTCTCTCTCTCTCTCTTATGCTCTTACTCTTTTTCCTGATTTTTCCACTATCTCTTCTTCCTCCTTCTCTCGTTCTCCTCTTCGAATAAACTGTCGACTGCAAACTTTTCGGAAAATGAAAAAAGCTCCAACAATTGCATAAAACAAGTTCAAAGACAACCGCCATAAATATGCAAAGAGATATAGTGCAGTGCATATGCATGCTTCCTACATGTGTAGGTCTGTGTGTGTCCGCGTCTGAGTGTGTGTGTGTGTGTGTGTGTGTGTGTGTGTGTGTGTGTACGTGCAATTGAATTAATGTACGTGAGTGCTTTCTTCTATGATTGGATAAAGTGCATATAATTTTGTGTATCGATATGCATGTAAATTTGTATTGTGTACATGTTTAAGCCCGGGTATCTGTGTGCATGTGTAGAGCTTATATTCGCTGTATACACTCATATATCAGTGTTAATGTTTGCGTTCGTACTATCCGTGAGTGTTTTATGTTTTTTGGATTTGTTTGGATTTTGGGTAGGTTTGTTTATTATTTGAATAATTGAGGAGCATGTTTATTATTATTCGTTTGCATAGGGATGTGTTTGTTGGCCTGTGTTTGTCTGTATCTTTTGTATGTAGTTGTATGTTTGTATGCAGTTGTATGTTTGTATAAAGTTGTATGTTTGTATGTAGTTGTATGTTTGTAACAGTTGTATGTTTGTGTGCAGTTGTATGTAGTTGTATGTTTGTATAAAGTTGTATGTTCGTATCGGTTGTATGTTTGTATCAGTTGCATGTTTGTTTGCAGTTGTATGTTTGTGTGCAGTTGTATGTTTGTTTGTAGTACGTGCAAAAAATGCAACAACAGCATTTTTGGCACGTATTTGTATGTTTGAATAGGAGAACCAGCATTTATAGGAAAAAGCGCATGCTGAGCCGATATGGAACATCAGTCACCTGCCTACAATAGCAGACTGGCGAACGTTTAGATCATGTAAGTTATTATCGCAGCTTGACATGACCCAAATATATTCCACTCTATAGGATGACCCAGATAGGTCGTGACGTCACCGGCATGACATTATTCTAGTCGTTTCTAAAGTACCTCTACAATTGCCGTCCTGGACTGGCGATCAAGCGTTGTTATTGCCGCTGCTACGATGACCATGACGACGACGATGATGATGATGATGACGACGATGATGATGACGATGATGATGATGATGACGATGATGATGATGATGATGATGACGACGATGATGATGATGATGATGACAACGACGATGATGATGATGACGACGACGATGATGACGATGAGGAGAAGGAGGAAGGCCATGACCAAGACCTGACTATGAAGATGACAGTAATGATGATAACGATGATGATTATGATGGTGACGATGATGATAGTAACGATAAACGGTGATCAATAAGGTTATGATGAGGCCCATGACGATAATCATCATCACGATCATATTGTTGCCAAAGGATGACGTATGCATAGAAAATGAACTTTCAAAGGCAGTAAACAAATAAATAAATAAACAAACATATAAACAAAATTATTTTCAAATAAAATAAAATAATAAAAAATTTTTAAAAATGTTATGCCATCCTCTTACTTCAAACATAAAAACAGGGATGGCATGTGAGAGCCGCCAGTACGTAAATTTATTTTTATAGCGCATTAAACAATGATTTTGAATACTGAGAGTGAAAGCGGCACGTGATACCATTGCTATCATCAACATCACTATCATTCTCATCCCTATCGTCATCATCATCACCGTCACCATCATCATCGTCGTAATCATCATCACAATTCTCAAAGTTTTATTGTCAACATTATCATCATATTTTTTATCTTAATGTTATCATCGTAATTATCATGTTAATGTATACTTATGCGTGTGTGTGTGTCTGTGGATGTGTCTGTGTGTGTGTGTGTCTGTGTGTTCGTACTTACAGCATGATTATTTGTGATGGTTTATGATTATTAACATGTGCATCGGTCTGGTACCAGGTTATTAATGGCATGAGGTGCTATTGTAAAAAAAAAGTTATGCAAACGTCATAAAAAATTAATAATAATAATAATAATAAACAACATCAACAACAACAACAAAACAACAACAACGCATCAACAACATCAACAACAAACTCAAAGAAACCACAACATTTAATTACGTAACATTACATTACATGACCTAACTTAACATTACATTACATAGCATGGCTCTACAAGACATTACATAACATTAAATAACATTATACTACGTAACATTACAAGGCCAATTACTTTACATTACACTACAGTACAAGACATTACATTACATTACAGTATATTACATTACATTACATTACAGGACATTAATTAACGGGGTAGAAACTGGACTGATTTATTGCAGTTGGGCGCTCTGAAATAATATACAATTTCACATTTCTGTTGATATTGTCGTAATTAGAGTAATTAATGATAGTTATTATTGTTGTTATTGTTATTGTTTTTATTATTATGATATTATTAATAATAATATTATTATTATTATTACTGATATTATTTGTTATTATCTTTATTTTTCTTGTAATTAATTTTATTGCTAATGTGTCGTTGTTATGGAGATGATGACGATGGTAATGGAGATGATGATGATGTTGATTGTTTGTTCGTTCATTTGTTTGTTAGTTCGTTCGTTTGTCTGTTCGTTCGTTTGTTTGTTTGTTTATGTTCACGGTTATAAAAATTTTTTGATGATTTCCATTGTGTTGTTAATTTTTTATAAGCACGGCTGTGAATTATCCAAACGTTAACATTACTACATCTGGCAAAATTGATTTTATTTGTATTGCACCCAAAATTACACTTCCACAAAATCCCTACTAAGTTGTGCCTGGAAGAAATGCGAATTTTTAGAAAAACGACATCGAACAGCGTTAACAAAATGCAGACAACAATAACTTACGTCACAAACAACAGCAGAAGTTCTAATAAAACATAAAAATCCGACACGAACGTACAACAGCTTCATATTGAAGGAGATCGTCATGTTAACATTGTTTAATTATTTTTCATTGTGGTAGCTGTCTTCTAAGA